TGTGTTTCGTTGGGTACTCACTCGTATATGGCGCTGACGAGGGTGGTGCACTGTTTCTGCTGCAAGGTGCTTTCGGTCATCCTTGAGGTCTTCGTGGTGTTCGTGCTGGCCACGTCCGTTCTGGTTTCCTCTGCGTGGCTGAAGTAAAAATCTTCCTTCTCCTGCTGCTGCTCCTCTTCCTCCTCCTCCTCCTCGTCCTCCTCCTCCTCTTCTTCCTCCTCTTCCTCCTCCGCATCCTCCTCCGCCTCCTCCTCCTCGTCCTCTTCCTCCTCCCCCCAATGCTTTCCCGAATTTCAGAGTTCAGCTTGGCGTTGCACACAGTCAAAAGATGCTCGTTCTCCTCCTCTTCCTTCTCCTCCTCCTCCCCCTCCTCCTCCTCCTTCTCCTCCCCCTTAATCCTCCTCGTCCTCTCTTTCCTCCACCTCGTCCTCCTCCTCCTTTTCCTCATCCATCCTCTCCTTCCTCCGCCAACACCACTTCGGTTGAAGCGAATGCGCGGCTCGGCGTTTCCCTCCCGCGGCGAGCGCGAGCTTAAATGGGACCCCGTGGACGCGGGTGCCATCGTCGAGGCGGTGGGCGCGGCTCTGTTGCAGCCAAGGCACCTCGGCGCACGGTCGCGGCTGTGTGGCGCGTTCGGCAGTCAGCGCCGCGCTCTTCGCGCTGCGCGGCGGCGTGGCGCCGCCTGCTGCTGGCGTAGCGCTTCGCGGAGCTGAGCGACAAGCTGCTCTTCCGCTGCTGCTGGTGCTGCTGTTGCTGATCTGCCGAGCGTCCCCGCTGCTGCTGCTGCTGCGCGCGCTCGAGCCTCCACGGAGGCGCAGCGCGAGCGGCGCCGCTGACGCCGTCTGCGCCTGGCGGGGAGGAGATTGCTGGAGAGAGGAAAGGCGGCTGCTGCTGCTGCTGAAGGTGGCTCGAGTCGCCGCTGTCGCACCCATGTCGCTGGACGGCCCCGAATTCGCGGCCACCGACAACGCCGTGGGCTTCGACGACGACTCGTGGGCTGACGCGGCCGCGCCATCTCGGCGTGGGCGGCGCCGCGCTCCCCGGCGTGCTGCGCAGGCACCTGCGGCGGCTGAAGCCGATGGCCTCGCCTTGCCGTATGCAGAGGCCGTGCCAGTGGCGGCCCCGGCTGAGGACGAGCGCACGGCCGTGCTCGCGCAGGTCATCTCGGTGTCGCCCTGCCCCGACTGCGATTCCATCTTCTCTGGCCTCGCGCTGGGTGGGCTGATGGAGGTCCGCGGGGTGTTTTGCAAGTCGTGAAGCTTGCCTGGCTCCCTTGGGCCCCACTGCCGCCTCGTGGTTGGGCCGCTGCTTGCGTGCCACAGCTTCGCAGCGGGTGACCTATTGACTGGCACTTCCCCGCCTGTTGGCACAACGTGTAGGCCTTTGCTTGCATGCTCGGTTGGTGTGCCGGCAAGCGGAGCCCTCCATGTTCAGCATGCGCCGCTGCGCTGGCAGCTGGCGAGGAGTTCGTTAGGATGCGCTCTCCCGACTTCGAACCCCAGCTCCCGCACCCGCGGATGTTGGGATCGCTACGGCATGCGCTTTTTCCTCCTGCGCGTTCTCCTCCTCCCCCTCCTCCCATTCCTCATTCCCTTCCTCCTTTGCGTCTTCTTCCCTCTCTCTCTCTCTCTCCAGCCTCTTCCTACCCCCATCCAATTGCTCCGCAATAGCTCCCCCTCGTCTGGCCACCAGGCCTGTCGGTAGGGCGGGCCAGTCGCTTCGCGTGGGACCCCCTTTCGGTCATGACCCCGGAGCAGCGGAGCAGGTTATGTCAACAGCTTCACGGATGGAATGGGGGGGCTCCCGAATTGCGGTTTTCGCCAAAGCGCCACGCACGGCTTCAAAAGCATGCAGCAGCTACAATGACGGAGTGGGGCCGTGTTCGAACTTGAGCTATCGCCTTAAGGCCACCCGGATCTTTCCACCTTGCCCCAGCTACGAAATGAAGCGGGGCCGTTTGTAGCAGGGGGCTTTCGCTTCAGTTATCTATATGTTTGATTTGCGTTGCACGTTTGCATCCTTCAGCAGAGTGGTGGGCTTTCTGTTTGTGCTATGTTTTCAAGACGGGTGTCTCGATTCAGCGCCGCAGGCATTCGTTATGACTGCAGCAAGGGAACCATCGGGTATGCTCTTCAAAAGGATGCTGTCGTTTCAGGAGCGCGCGCGCGCTCGTCTTGGCAAGCTGCAGCAGCTGAGCGACTGGAGGGCGATGTGCATTCAACCGTGATAGTATGGATGGGCGGCCTTCCCAAGGGTACCCTTGCATCCTTGCCTCCTCGGTGCATCCTTGGCCACTTTCGTTGGCCGCGCCCCGCTCGAAAACTTCGAAATGGGCTTCCAAGGGCCTTGTATCCTTACCGCGCATCCTTTTTGTCCTGGTTGACTGTGTTTAAAACATGGGGCTCTCGCCGCAGCGGCGCGCACAATCGTCTTAACATCATGAAGCTGCCGAAGGATTGGGGGACGGCTTGCTCTCAACATGGGCTTCTCGCCTCAATGCCGCGCACATTCGTTGTATAGTTTACATCTGGCCGAACGAAAGGGGGGGATAGGGGAAGGGGGGGGTACGAAATCTGCTGCATGCAGCTGGTTTCGGCCCCGCCGCCGGGCCCATTCCTCGATACATGAGCGCCTCCCGGCGCCGGGGAGCGCCGGGAGAATCAGCTACGTGAGCTGATTCTCAAACCCCTCTTTGCTATTCCCCCTTTTCGCCCAGCCCGGTTACACCAGGTGCACGATGGAGCGGGATCGTTTTTCAAAACGGGGTTCTCGCGTCAACGCCCGCGCACATCTGTCTTACAAAGCGTGCAGCAGTCAACAGACTGTGGGAACTGGATCTTTCGCCTCGGCGCCGCGCACACGCGTCTTACACACTTGCATCAGCTACGGAGATGGAGGGGTCCGTGTTTGAAATGGATTTCTCGCTTCAGCGCCGCGCGCAGCCATCCCACAATATGGCAGCAGTTCGAGGACTGGAGGGGAGCGTGCTTTCAACATGGGGCTCTCGCATCTGCAGCGCGCGCATTCGCAACAATCCTAAGCCGCTTCAAGGATTGGAGGGTGGTATCCTTTCAATATGAGCCTCTCGCATGAGTGCCGCGTACATTCGTCTTGGCATGTTGAATCAGTTGCAAGACGGAGCGGGGTCCTTTTCGAAAATGGGGTTTCAGCTGCCGCGCCGCGCACATTCGTTTTACAAGCTTGCAGCAGTCGAAAGACTGGAAGATTGTTTCGTTTTTTTAATGGGACTTTGGGCTCAGCACCGCGCGTATCCGTTCCAAACAGTTTTCACCAGTTACAATGGTGGAGCGGGGCCTTGTTCAAGAAAGGGGCTCTCGCCGAAGCGCCGCACGCATTTGTGTTCCAAGCTTGCACATGCAAGCCCACTCCTGCCCCCCCCCCCACGCGATCCCCTCCCTGCTCTCACTGAGCCTGTGAGCCGCACGGTGTCGACCTGCAACGGTCTGTCCGTGCCCGCAACGCGTCGACCGCGCCGACGTTTCCCTGACGGCGTTTCTCTTGAGGGTTCCACGGCAGCCGGGCCGAGGCAGAAGATCGAGGTCGGTTCGGGGGGCGTACCCTCATGTTCTTCACGTTTGTGGGATGTCCTCGTGCACCCTGAGGGACGGTACTCTCGGATGCTCTGTGCGTTCGGGCTGGCGGAGGGTCTCATGTTCTTGAGCGATGTTCTTCTGCCCGAGGTCCGACTGTGGTGGTACGAAAGGACCGCAGAAGAGTCCCGCAGGGGGTCCGGCAGCCGTTTCGTTTGAGACTCGCAATCGATTCAGGAATCGTGCTAAAGACAACGCCTCGGCATCGTTCGGACGTGTGCATTTTTGGGGGCGGGGACCATCCAGGAACATGCTGGACCATCTTGCGAAAAGTACGCGCGACATCGAAACATGCACGGGGAATGGACGTCCGAGCGATGGCGAGACGCGCCTCGTAAGGACGCGCGCCTTCGTCTAGGGTGCCCTTGTGTCCTTGCCTCTGCGGCCCGTCCTCGGCCGTTTTCACGGGCCGCCTGCCGCCCACAAAAATCCCATTTTCGGTCTCCAAAGGTCTTGGGTCCTTGACACCCGTCCTTCATGCACGTTTTGCCTGTACAGTCGGGGCGCTGAAGAGGGAACCCTTTTCGTTGGGGAGGGGCTCCGTGTTCCTTGAGTATTTCACAGCTTGCCTCAGGTTTTCCTTTTGTTTTCCATGGGAAATGAAAACAACTTAACTCACGGGAAAAAGGAGCCCCGTTCCTTATTCAGGGTTCCTTAGGTCAACGCCCCGACGGTAGCGCCTCAGTGCCGAATCCATGTCTGGCCTGGACGGCCACGACCCTTTATGAAACACACGCTGTGGTGCGCGTGAGGCCGTGCTCTCACCCAAGAGGGGACAAAAACACACAGACACAATGAATCGTCGTTTCCCCAGAAAATCTGGGAAAATATGGGAAGCGGGTGGGCAGACGAAAGTCCCAGAAAATATGGAAAAATATGGGGAATCCTTTTCATTTGTGTGTATTTATTTGTGTGTCCCAGGGCCCCTTCACTCACCCTCGCCCCGGCGCGTTTTCACGAGCCGGCCCCCCTGTCTTCGACCTGCTTCTTCCCCAGGCATCCGTCGTCGCAATTTGTTCGAGACGCGGGCCCCCGACCTCTTGACCACCTCCCTGCAGTTTCTTCCCGAGTAGTTCTCTGACGGCCCCGAGGCCCGGTATAAGGGCCCGGAGGTGCCGAAAACGATGGCAAACATGTGTCTCGTTTTTTTCGAGACGCCAAACCCACCAAACCACCCCAACCCAACCCGAAGGCCTCAATTTGCCCTCCATTTCCAGTGGGGGGGGGGTCGGGGAACGTTGAGAAAACACATGGTGCCCGTACCCCCCCCAACCCGAAATTCGGATCAAATTCGGGTCTTCGGGTTGGGTTGGGGTGGTCTGGTAGGTAGCCAGATGTCTGGGTCAACCTTTCTGGCTGTCAGGGTCCTGCGTTCTCCCCGCGCGCGAGGACGGCGCCCGAGGGCGCGCCAGCGGCGCCCCGGCTCGCCTTCGCGGGGGCGGGCGACCTCGCGGACAACACCACGCGGGACAAGGCCCCAGGGCAGGAGGGGGGAGGGAGAGGAGGAGGAGGAGGAGGAGGATGAGGAGGATGAGGAGGAGAAAAAAAAACAAGAATAGTACTACGAATGAAAGAAAGAAACATAGACATGAGACGAAGAACAATAAGAAGAAGAAGAAGAAGGAGAAAAAGAAGAGGAGGAGGAGGAGGAGGAGGAGGGCACGGATGTCTTTCGCCGGGGTTGGCTTTCGCCGGGCTTCGTTTCGCCGGGCTCCGTTTCGCCGGGCTTCGTGTCGCCGGGGTTGGCTTTCGCCGGGGTTGGCTTTCGCCGGGGTTGGCTTTCGCCGGGGGTTGGCTTTCGCCGGGGTTGGCTTTCGCCGGGTTGGCTTTTGCCGGGGTTGGCTTTCGCCAGGGTTGGCTTTCGCCGGGGTTGGCTTTCGCCGGGGTTGGCTTTCGCCGGGGTTGGCTTTCGCCGGGGCCGGGCGGGGAGCAGGCGGGGCAGGCTCAGGGGCAGGCGATGAATGGGTAATGGGGTATCGATGTCTCCTTTCCCCTCTTAGCAATTTCTTGTGTCGGGCCGCTTCCAGAAGCGGCTGGCGGTCGTGGTGGCGGTCGCAGTTGATGGGGGCGTTGGCCCGAGACTTCCGACGCCGGGGAAAAACAAAACGGTCAGTTTTTTGGGCCGGCGTCGGCCTCAGGGAGGCCGTGACGTCCTTACCTAGGACGCGCCAGGATAAAAATATGTCCTTGGGAACGACTGCGGACTTCAGGAAGCCGCCGGCGTAAACAAATCCGGGGGTCGGAGGACAGGGCCAGAAGTCGCCGTGCAGGAGTAGGTGAGGGGGCGGGGGCGCGGCGATGAAGGAAGAGGCTCGAGACCCTTGTTGCAGGGCGGGCAGCGGGCAGCGCACGGACGGGCAGCGGGCAGCGCCGTTCCTGCTGTCGTGTCTCGGCTCCTCCTGTCATCGAGCACAAAAGCCCTAACAGTAAGTCGGGCGTGTCCCCCTACAGGGGGAATATTCAAAAACAGTGAAAACAATAGTCTGGGGATATTTTTTTGAGTATTTTTGAGCGTGTCTGGAGTCTTTTTTATCATTTTGAACTTTTCATCCAAAATCCCCCTGTGGGAGGATACGCCCGACCTATCCCGAACACTAATAACACGATGAAGACGCGGCCTCACTGAGGTCCCCGTCTTCGCATTAAAGATACCACATCTGGGCGGTTGTGTCTGACATATCTGCAGACAACAAAACCATTGTCGCTGATGCTTTCTGGCCCTCCAAACGTGTGTTCTCTCCCAAACGGGGTTCTTTTTTGGTGGATCCTCCTGTCTCTCCCAAAGAGTCCTCTCCCAAAGGGTCCGGGGGGCCCTCTCCGAAAGGGTCCTCTCCCGAAGGGTCCTCTCCCAACTTAGGTCCTCTCCCAAAAGGGTGAGGGGTTCTTTCAGGAGAGGGAAAAAACACACAGACACAATTGATCCTCGATTCCACAGAAAATATGGGAAAATATGGGAAGTGGGGGGGAAGACAGAAACCCCGAAAATATGGGAAAATATGGGGAAGATTTTTATTTGTATGTATCTATTTGTGTGTCCTGGGGCCCCTTCATTCTTGTTTGGTGGATCCTCCCGTCTCCTCCCCAGTGCGCGGCTCGCAGGTTCTCTGCGCCCTGGCGGCGGCGTCCGCCAACCAGAGCGGCCTGGAGGCACGCGCCCGCCGCCAAGGAGCGCGAAGGGGCTGGAGAGAGAGAGCGAGAGAGAGAAGAGAGAGAGAGGAGCAGGAGGAGGAGGAGGAGGAGGAGCAGGAGGAGGAGGAGGACGATGAGGAGAGAGAGACGGAGAGAGAGACGGAGAGAGAGAGAGAGAGGCTCTCTCTGTCGCTGTGTCAGAGAGCCACAGCTCCCGTGGTACAGTGTAGACCCGTGCCAAGAAACACCCTACTTGCCTCCAGGGTGCCCCGGGCTTACGTGTTTCGGTGGCTCTGCTGTGGAAAGCGTGACGTTCCCACACCAAACGCCAATTGGCGTCCTGGGGCCTCAGGGTTGGGTTTCTTGTGGAAGGTTTCTTCTGGACTGGCCTCCATTGTATTCCGCGGCATATATTTTGAGGCACCGGTTCTTCCTTTCACTGCGGAGATGGTCGTTTCTTTCGCTTCATGTTTTTCAAGTTGAGGGATCCAAGCCAAGCGGACGCGCGTTTGTTTCAATTTGCAGGCTTGTCACCGTAGTGACCCAGGCGTCCGAAAGAGAGAGAGAGAGAGAGTGTGAGGATGACACAACTGCATGGCCCTGATCCGCTGAGCACGCCAGGGAGGGGGGCCCAACGCTGATCCAAGGCAACCCGCGTGGACCTCCGACAGCACATGCTAATGCAATTGTTCGTTTTCTTGTTGGGCCGAAGCTATGGTATTTAGAGACTGCACTGGATGAGTAAGTTGCAACGCATGCCTCGGGATACAAACAACTGGCAGAGGGAAAGCAGATTGACCGCTGAAGCGCAGTAGCGCTGCTAGGCAGTGAGCGTAGGAAAGTAGAACTGGCAGACCAGCGGCGTAGGACGCACAAGAAGAAGACGAAGGGGAAGCATATTGGTGGCCAGGACCGACGTCGTTATAAAATACAGGGGGCCGCTGCCGCTGTTGAACTTCCCACAGCCCGCCCTGCTGCCACGATCAGCCTGCGAGGCTTTCGGCACCATCAGGCTCGCGGCTCGTGCGGCCTGAGATCGAGCCGTTGGACGCGAGTGCGAATCACAAAAGTGCGTTTTGACTTGAATTGCAGTTGGAGTCCAGCCGTGGCGAGGAGGCCGTTCCAGCAGATCCCAAAACGGCCTTAATCGCCAGAGAACCGGCATCCTCGCCCGAGGATGGGGGAACGAGGATCCTGCCCCAAGAAGGCCATGGACCTTCGGCGACGGTTCGCCGTCACGTAGGCGCGTGTGTGGTCCAGATTGCGCGTCCTCTCCCTCAGTACGTGAGGCTGGTGTTCTCGAAGCGCCGCTGACGGCTACACCACCGGCCTTTTCTCCTCCCGGGACTTCACCACCGGGCTCCTGTCCAAGGTGTACCTTTTCCTGCGCGTAAAAAAAACCGTTCGGCACCGCCTGATCCCCGGGCTTCGCCCGCTTCTGGCCGCGTGAGGCCCCGCCTGCTCCCGCCCTTTCTCTGTCAATTAAAGCTGTGCGCGTCCCGCGGAGCTTTTAGCGGAAGAGGCTCGCTCTCGCCCTGCAGATCAAAAAAAATGCGGTCCAGAGAGCGGCAAAAGCACACACTTTTCAGGTCCGAGCAGACTTCTTCATCCATGGGCGCCGGGGCCCCCCGGCAGCGCCCACGGCGCCGCCGTTGGTGCGCTGCGCTCGCCAGGGAGGGGGTCTTGCGCCGATCCAAGGACTGCGTTCGGACCTTTGAGTTTATACTCATGCAACTTGCAATGTTCCCCATCCCTTCAGTGGGATTCTTGCATTCTCCAGACACCCCCGCGTTGAAGCAGACCCTGACCCTCTACCCACCTCTTTTGACATCACCACCATCATCATCACCGTCATCATCATACTCACCACCATCATCATCACCACCACCATCTCATCAGCATCACCATCACCATCACCACCACCGTCATCGTCGTCATCATCTTCACCACCGCCATCAGCATCAGCACCACCATCTCATCAGCATCACCACCACCACCACCGTCATCGTTGTCATCATCACCATGATCACCACCACCATCATAATCATCCTCATCATCATCGGCAGCACCCCCATCATCAGCAACAGCATCATCATCATAATCATCATCACCGCCATCACCATCATCATCACACTCATCATCACTTTCAGTATCATCATCAGCATCATCATGATCATCATCACACGCACTCACACTCCGAACCACATACACACATATACCATTATCACCACCACCACCACCATCACTATCACCATCACCGTCACGATCATCACCATCATCATCACCATCACCATCATCATCATCATCATCATCATCATCATCATCATCATCACTAGTACCCTCCACGCTCTGGGGCCTCGTCGGTGAGTGAATTGAGAGCAAGCCTCCATCTGGAGACCGCCTCCTATGTGGACCCACTTTTCATGCCGTTCATCTGAGGCGGTCATCGGAATCTTGTAGCCCTCGACACTCTTTGGCTCTTTGGGGCACGAACATCGAGGACGGCTCGAGCGGGAGCCTCGTCAAATGAGCGCTGTCTTGTAGGGCCCCACTTCGTGGTACTACTCCGACGCGTTTATCGAAATCTTGCAGCCGTCATCACTCTTGAGATCTCGGGGCACGAATCTTGTCTCGAGCGAGAGCCTCGTCAAGGGGTGCTCTCCTGCAGGGCCCCCACGTCATGTCGATCATCCGAGGCGGTCGTCGGAATCTTATCACCGTCGACGCTCTTGGGCTCTTAGGGGAACGAAGCTTGAGGACGACTCGAGCGGGAGCGTCGTCTGTGAGAGCTCTCCCATAGGGCCCCCTTTTCGTCTTGTCCAAAGGGGTTCGCCCATGTTTGGAGTCTCTTTGGGGTCTCCTGGGGGCCTCTGGGGGGCCTTTCGGGGGCCTCTGGTCGATCTCAGAGGTCATAGGTTCCCCCTTTTGCCTCTCGTGCATCCATCTTTGGGGCCTATTGGGCCCTCTTGGGGGTCGTCTTGGGGCGCTCTTGGGTGCCTCTTTGGGCCGTCTTGGGCGCTTTTCAGGAAAACCGAGTGTGCTAAGATCCTTACGAAACACGCAACAACAACCACACTTACAACAGCACTAACAACAACCACAGCAGCAACACCAACAACAACAACAGCAACAGCAGCAGCAGCAGCAACAACGACAGCAACACCACCACCAACCAAGACAACAAACACAGTACCAACGACAACAACATGTGTCTTAGATGTTCTGGCCTTTGGGTCTGGCCCCCGGGGGTTCCAAAACAGCCAGACATGCGCCCAAGAGGTCTCCAGGGCGGGGCCTGCAGACCACCTCTTAGGCCATGCTGGAAGTATGAGCTTCCAACCGCGCTCCCGGGGCTTCGTGGAAGGCTCCCGCGCAGCACCCCAGAAGTCACGCGGGAAGCTTCAGAACTCGGAGGCTCCCGGGCACCTCTGAAGTGTGCCGAGGGATCCACAGGACCTGAGGACAATCCGCTTGCGGATGATCGCCTTCCAACACCGTGCGAAGGTGCCTGCTGCCTTGGAGAAGGTCGGCCGGACCATTGATGCTGCTCTGCTCTGCTGCTCCTCCTCCTCCTCCTCCCCCTCCTCCCCCTCCCCCTCCTCCCCCTCCTCCCCCTCCCCCTCCTCCTCATCCTCCTCCTCCTCCTCCTCCTCCTCCTCCTCGTCCTCCTCCTCCTCCTCCTCCTCCTCCTCCTACCCCCCCATCCTCTCCTCCTCCTCCTCCTCCCCTCCCCTCCTCCCCCTCCTCCTCCCCCTCCTCCTCCTCCTCCTCCTCCCCCTCCTCCTCCTTCCGCCGCGGATGCAGCGCTGCCTCTCCCCATCTCGCCTCCCGGAGGCACCCAGCGCGATGGAGAAGAAGGCGGCCCTTCGCGCCAACCGCGAGGCCCCGCCAAGCCCGCGCGCCCTCTCCGGGGGGCCCGCCGCGCGCGGGCCGTCGTCTGCGTCTCCGTCGTCGTCGTCGTCGTCGTCGTCATCCTTGGCCTCCCTCCTCCTCCCCTGTCCTTCTTGTCCTCTTTCCTCCTCTCCTCCTCCCCTCCTCTCCCTCCTCCCTCCCTCTCCTCCTGTCCTCCCCTCCTCCTCCTCCTCCTCCTCCTCCTCCTCCTCCTCCTCCCCTTGTATTGTTTGCCTTCTCTTCCTCTCCTTCTGCTTTCTTTCAAGCAGGCTGCTCTGCAACTTTGGCAGTTCCTTGCCGAGATCCAGCTCTGTCTCCACCCGTTCTCCCTTCTTTTTCCCTGGAGCACCCAGAGACGCGTCGGTAGGGCGGGCCGGGCGGTTCGCTTGAGACTTTGTCATCATGTATGATCATCAAGCTTAAAGTTTGAAGCAGCTCACGGATGGAGGGCGGGTGGTTCTCAAGATGTGGTTCTCGCCCTATCGCCGCGCACGTTCGTCTTACAAGTATTGCAAGTGCTTCACGAATGCAGGGTGGTTGGCTTTCAAGATGTGGTTTTCGCGTTAGCGCCGCCCACATTCGTCTTAAACATTGGCAGGAGCTTCACGGATGGAGGCGGGCGTGTGGTTTTCAAAATGCGGCTCTCGCCTTAGCGCCGCGAACACTCGTCTTCAAAGTTTGCAAGTTCTTCAAAGATGGAGGGCGGGTTGTTTTTATCATGCGGCTATCGCCGTAGCGCTGCGCACAGTCGAATGCAAAGGCGCATTAACAGGATTTGTATGGATGACGTCACAGGAATGTGTTCGGGCAGGATGTCGGGCTGTCAGGGCGGTGTTGAAGCCCCAGGAATGGAATCCTGTCACGATTCAGGATCGCTCGGATGATTCGCGGCGTTGAAGTCCCATGAATGGTGTTCTGGCACGGTGCAGGTTTTTAAGACGGTTGTCTTCCAACGGGGCATTCCCCTACAGTGAGTTTTTCTAGGTACCTAAGCGTAGGGCATTTAGAGGGAGGGTTGATTGCATCACCATTGAGTTTTAATTGGTCCTTCATGTCCTCCTCCTCTTCCTCTTTCTTCTCCTGCTCCTGCTCACGCCAACCCTACGTGCCTCGTCTTTTGATCCTTCCCTCTCATCCAACTCGTGCCGTCGTGAGATGTAGCACCGACGACGGTCTGGCCCGCTCATCCAGACAGGTGCTGCGCTGGAGCCCCGCCGCCATAAGTATGTACTTTGATTGTCCAGTTCTAGGCTCCCCGTCTCCATCTCCCCCTGACTCTCCCACCCACCGTTTCGGCAGGCCCAGGGCAGAGAGGAGCCAGGAACCGCTCCACGGCGTCCCGGAGCGCTCTCAGAGCGTTCCGGCGCGCTCTGGAACGGCGCGGCGCTCCGATGTTGTTTCCGTTTTGGTCGCCTTCACCGCAGGGGAAGAGCAAAGCACCCGCGGCAACGACCCGCGGAGCTGGAGGGGGAGGTGGAATTTGGAGCAGTTTTGCCGTATGACCTCAGCACGGTTCATTGTTTGGTTGCCCGATTGTCGAACTTGTTGAGAGGTGGGATCGGCCCCCCTCGGCAAGTAGTTCTGTTTGATTCGAGGGTGCTGCGCCTCTCATGTGTTGAGCGTATTTATTACCCGACATGTTGTGTCACATGTTGCAGCAGCAGCACGTGGTGCCCCAAGGACCCAATGACCCGAGGAGGATTGTGTTCTCCTCCCCCTGCCTCAGATGATTTGTGTTTTTGTTCTGGCGCTCAGGCTCGCCCCGCTTAGCCCCCTCGCGCGGACACTTTTGCGGGCACCGTCACCGTCACCGTCCCCCCGCGTCAGGCGCGGAGCCACCGGGCATCACCGAGCGGGTTCCACTACTCGCAAAGTGCCTACTCGCAAACTTCCGAAAAAAACACACGTCTGGCTCGATGTAATTTATCGTAGATCCCCTGCGGCGGGTCGAGGACATTTGCGAGTAGTTATTTTGCGAGTAGTGAAACGCGCGGCGGGGGTCGGGGAGGCGTGCTTACCCCCGCGTGCCGTCCCCCCCTCCGGGCCCTGCCCGCCTCTCCTCGTGCCCGCCTGCCCGCTTGGGAGGCTTTGGTTGGGAGGAGGAGGAGGAGGAGGAGGAGGAGGAGGAGAAGGAGGAGAAGAGAGGAGGGGGATGAGTCAAAAGGAGCAGGAGGTGGAGGAGGAGGAGGAGGAGGAGGAGGAAGAGGAGGAGGGAGGGTACTCAGGGAGGAGGAGGAGGAGGAGGAGGAGGAGGAGGAGGAGGAGGAGGAGGAGGAGGAGGAGGAGGAGGAGGAGGAGGAGGGGGAGGGGAGGAGGAGGAGGCGGAGGAGGAGGAGGAGGAGGCGGAGGCGGAGGCGGAGGAGGAGGAGGAGGAGAGGGAGGGAGGAGGAGGAAGGAAGGGCAGGAAGAGCCGCGGGGCTGTGACCGCCCCGCCGCGAACACCGCCACACCAAAAGACCCGTGGGCCAACACAGCTGGAGTCAGCGGGGCCAGGACGAGGAGGGGAGCAGGAGGATGCGAATGAATGGGAGGATCCGTATGAAGAGGATGATGATGATACTGATGGTGGTGTTGATGAAGATTCTGATGATGATGGTGGTGATAATGCTGATGGTGATAATGAATGGGGTGAGGTTGATGGTGATGATGACGGTGATGGTGGTGATCATGATGACAAGGATGATGACGATGATGATGCTGATGATGAGGATGGTGGTAATGGTGACAGTGACGGTGATGGGAATGGTGATGGTGATGATGATCCTGATGATGGTGATCGTGATGATGCCGATGACCATGTTGATGATGATGATGATGAGGATTGATACTGATTGATGATACTGATGATGATGCTGACGATGATCCTGATGATGGTGATGCAGTTGTTGCTGGTGCTGCTGCTGATGATGCTAATGATGGTAACGGTGATGATGATGCTGATGATAATGATGATGAGGATGAGGACGACGCTAATGATAGTGACGGTGGCGCTGGCCATGCTGGTCCTGATGGTGACGACGATGCCGATTATGCTGATGATGATGGTCATGATGATTATGTTGACGTGGATGATGATGATGATGGTGATGATGATGATGATGATGATCATGCTGACGATGATGATGATGCGGACGATGATGCTGATGATGTTGATGGTGATGATGCTGACGATGATAATACGATAAGCCTGATTAGGATGATTATACTGCTGATGGTTATGATCATGCTACAGATGTTGATCATGCTGATGCTGATGATGATAATGATGATGATGCCGATGATCATGACGACGACGATGACGACGATGATGACGACGACGACGATAATGATGACGGTTAATTTGATGGTGACGGTGATCATGCTGATATTGATGATGTTTGTGAGGGTGAGGGTGATGGTGATGGTGACGGTGATTGTGGTGGTGCCGCTGCTGCTGCTGCTGCTGCTGCTGCTGATGACCATGATACTGAGGGGGAGGAGGAGGAGGTAGGGAGGAGGAGGAGGAGGAGGAGGAGGAGGAGGAGGAGGAGGAGGACGAGGACGAGGATGAGGAGGAGGAGGGGGTGAAGGAAGAGGAGAGGAGGGGGAGGAGGAGGAGGAGGAGGAGGAGTTGGAGGAGGAGGAGGAGGAGGAGGAGGGGGAGGAGGAGCAGAAGGAAAAGGAGGAGGAGAGGAGGAGGAGGAGGAGGGGAGAGGAGGAGCGACGACCAGGAGGAGGAGGAGGAGGAGGAGGAGGAGGAGGAGGAGGAGGAGGAGAGGAGGACGAGGAGCGACGAGGAGCGACGAGGAGCGACGAGGAGCGAGGAGGAGGAGAAGGAGGAGGAGGAGGAGGAGGAGCGACGAGGAGGATAAGGAGGTGGAGGAGGAGGAGAGGAAGCGGAGGAGGAGCATGGGGAGGCGCAGAAGGAGCGCGCGAGCAGCAGGTGCGGCGTCCGAGGACACGAACACCGACCGCCTCAGAAGACCATGTGATGGAGCGGCGGACTACATGGCTGGGTGCGGAGGAAGTTCCAAGCACCCTCCCCTCCGCGGGGGGCGCGGCATTATCGCCGAGCCTTCCGCCGCAGCAGCCGCGCCAGCGGCGGCAGCAGCAGGGACCGCAGGAGCCTCCCCAGCACCAGCACGAACAGGGAGGGCGACCGCGGCCGACGGCCGCCCGCCGTCAGTCCACGAGTCATCGGGCAGCTCCTCATCCTCCATGTCGTCGTGCCTCGCGTCTTCAAGGGCCGCCGCGTCAGCAGCAGCTTGAGCAGGCCGAGGGCCAGCTCCGGCTGCGTCAGCAGGCGCCGCCCCACCCGCGTTTGGGATCGGGCCACCAGCCGCAGGCGCGCCGCCACGAGCCACGGCACGCACCTCCGCCAGGCGCACCCTGCGGCGCCGCCTCCGCGCCGCCTCCGCGCGGCCTTCGCCGCAGAAGCGGCAGGCCTCGCAGCGGGCGCCGGCAGCCCATCCCCACGTCCAGCTCCTCGACCCCCTCCAGGTCCCAAGCCGTCGTCGGGCTCGGCGCCCGCCGCCTCCGCAGCCGCCACACCCGGCATCGGCGCCAGCGCGAAGAGCGCGGCCGAGACGGCGGAGCGGGCGCCGGCCGTTGCCGTGCGGCGGGGGGGCGCCTTTTCCCACGGCTGCCCGCACCGCGGCCTCCAGGAGGGCCGCGTCGGCACCAGAGGTTGCCCCTCCAGGCCCCGCCACCCCGCAGCAGCGCCTCGCCGAGAGGGGGCGCGCGCGGGCGAGGCCGTGCAACCGCTTGAGCCAAAATGGCTACGGAGAAGGAGGAGCAGGAGGAGGAGGAGGAGGAGGAGGAGGAGCAGGAGGAGCAGTAGGAGGAGTCCAGCGCCACTCCCTCCATCGCACAGGCAGTCGTTGCAGGCACGCGCGAGCGCCCTCCGCCGGCCGCCAGGGCTTCGTGCCCGTACGGCCGCGCCACGAGGTGGGGGCGCTGCTGGGCGGCTGCGTCGCGACGGTGCCCCGCGGCGTGGAGGGCAGCATGGACGAGGAGGACGAGGAGGAAGAGGGGGGAGGAAGGGAGGACGGGTGGGAGGGAGGGAGGGAGGGAGGAGGGAGGAAGGGAGGGGAGGAGAGGGGAGGAGGAGGAGGAGGAGGAGGAGGAGGAGGAGGAGGACGGAGGAGGAGGAGGAGGAGGAGGAGGAGGAGGAGGAGGAGGAGGAGGAGGAGTTGGTCGAGGAGTAGACGGAGGGAGGAGGAGGAGGAGGAGGAGGAGGAGGAGGAGGAGAAGGAGGCCTCCCCGTCGTCCCGGCGTTGTGTCGTTCTCCCCTTCTCAACTGTACCAGTGCGCTTCTCAGCCGCCACCCCCCAGCGACGAAGGCCGCGGGGGGAGGTGAGGAGGGCTGGGCTGGGGTGTGCTACGCTCACGCTTCCAGCACCGATCACGGAGGAGGGGGGGGGCTGGCACCCGCCTCCTCTCTGGGCTGTTTCCCATGTTTCGGGGGCGGAAAAGAGGGGGGTGATGACTAGGGGGGGGTGGATATCATGGCGGGGGCCATGATATTTCCCAGATTTCATGGCGCCTCTTCGTGTTTCATTACGTCCCTGGCCCCCCCGCTGGGCCGCGCACATGCCGCCGGTCATGATTTGCACCCCCCCTCTTGGACAACCCCCCGCCGCTCCCGAATGTTGTCCCTCCCTCTGCGCTGCTTCAGAAGTAGCCTCAGGAAGTCATCCAGATCCCCGTTTCGGCAACATGGTGAAACTGTTCGCACCAGGAAGCGTTATCCCGGCACCCTGATTATGATGATAATGATGGTGATGATGATGATGATGGTGATGATTATGATGATGATGATGATGATGATGATGATGATGATGATCATGATGATGATGATGATCATGATGATCATGATGATCATGATACTGATCATGCTGATGATGAGGAAGATGATGACGATGCTGATGATGATGCTGAGGAGGAGGAGGGCAGAGGAGGAATCTTCCCTCGCTTCCAAAGTGTGACTCTCTTTCGTTTCAAACATGTTGCAATAGCTTTACGGATTGAGGGTGGGTTGTTTTCAAAAAGTGGTTCTCGCCTCAGCGCCGCGCACATTCGTTTTCAACACTTGGAAGAGTCTCACCGATTTGGGGCGGGTCGTTTTCAACACTTGAAAGATTTTCACTACTACTACAACTTCTTCTTCTTCTACTACTACTACGACTACTACTACTGCTACTACTATTGCTACTACGATTACTACTGCTACTACTACTACTACTACGACTACTACTACTACTACTACTACTACTGCTACTGCTACTGCTACTACTACTACGACTACTACTACGACTACGACTACGACTACAACTACTACGACTACGACTACGACTACAACTACGACTACGACTACTACTACTACTACTACTACTACTGCTACTACTACTACTACTACGACTACTACTACTACTACTACTACACTTACTACTACTACTACTACTACTACTCCTCCTTTTCCTGCTGCTGCTGCTGTTGCTGCTACCACTA